ATATGACCAAACTGTTTGCCAACAATTCATGGCTCTTGCATCATGACAATACACCAGCTCACACAGCACTGTCTGTGAGGGAGTTTTTAGCCAGTAAACAAATAAATGTATTGGAACACCCTCCCTAGTCACCTGATCTGGCCTCCAATGACTTATTTTTTTACCCAGAGATAAAGGAATATTGAAAGGAAGACATTTTGATGAGATTCAGGACATCAAGGGTAATACGGCAACAGCTCTGATGACCATTCCAGAAAAAGAGTTCCAAAATTGATTTGAAGGGTGGAGTAGGCACTGGCATGGTGCATAGCTTCCCAAGGGGAATACTTTGAAGGTGACAGTAGTGATATTCAGCCATGAGGTATATAGCACTTTTTCTAGGATGAGTTCATGAACTGAATTATCTGCTGAACCTTCATATTGGTATTACAGGCTAAATCTGGTGGTGAGTTCTTGGCTTGGCTTGCTATCCTTGAGAAACTTTTAAAAGTCTGATCTGAGATTCTTTATGAAAAGTTCCAGGGAAGCAAACTCAAAAGGCCTAAGTGATCAATTACCATTCATGCTGCATTTATGTAAATAATGAGGCCAGATCTAATGAGAGCATACTTATTTTGTAAACAAGAATATAAAGGAGGGGGTGACTCTAGGGAGACACTTTATGTTTCAGTGGAAAACTATAGTGTACCTCTGTGGATTATTAAATTCTAGTCCTATTCAATGTCTTGCACATTTTGTTAATTCTAGATTCTTCCAGTATCTGGCTACAACTCACCAAAATCTTTTCAGTTTTCCTCCCCTGCGTCTGATCTGGCATCACTAAGAACTAAAACTGCCCTTTCCTGAGTCCCTGCAAGACGAAGCTGGATGACCTGATATAAACATCAAAGAAATCACCGCAACAGATCACGTGTGGTCAGCCTTCCTGCCTGTTGTTGTGTGGGCCATTCAGAAAGTTTGCTGGAACACCTGATGCCATCACCAAAGGCATTCAAACTGCAAACAATGCATTGAGCCCAACATAAAGAAATCTTCTCAATCATCTGCCCTCTGGACTCATAAACTGGTTTATATTGACGCTCCATCCATTAACCTTTATTTCTCTTTTTTCATAGAAATACCCCTCACTAAATGCGTGACTGCTCACACCACCTAGTAAATACCCTCTACTACCAAGTCTTAATTGATGGTTTAGTTGGTCCTTAATGAACAAAAGGCAATCTAATGAGAAATGGACTTACATTGATCAAAAGAAAGGAGAATGTTTCTTCTTTTCTTGAATAAGGGAAGAAACTGACAAAGCGTGTCTCCTTCACTAAACTTTAGTGAGGTTCCACTAAGCCCTTTTCTCTATTAGGCTGCATCCTTGACAGACATGCGTAGTACACTTTTAGCAAGAATCCTGTTAAATCAATTTAGAGAGAATTCCCCACCCTTGATATTTAATAACCCTAAATATCTGATCAAATTACCTGTCCCCAACACCCCAGATAATATCTGATTACTCTGCCTTCAGCAGGAATCCTTAATCTGTTCAATCAGAATTTTCCTCCCACCCCAGTTTTTTCTTTTGGTAATTTCCCTTTGACGCTCTCTATTCCTTGGCTATAAATCCCCACTTGTCTTTGCTGTATTGGGAATTGAGCCCAGTTCAGTACTGAGGTCTCTTTTCTCCTACTGTAGTCATTTCTGAATAAAATTTGTTTTTATCACTTTACTGTCTAGCTCTGTCTGTTTTTCTGACAATATCAATAGCATACAGTCTGGAAGAACATTTACTATCCTATCTACATACTGACAAATATTTCAACTTGCATTTGGAGAAAGCCAGTTATATTCAAAATCTGAATTGGTGCTTTGTGTACATGTAGAATGTTCATGAGGGAGCAATACTTGACAATTTTCTGTCTTATTTGTTACTGGAAACCCAGAATATGGGAAAGACGCACTAGGATCAGGGCTGATAGAACATAGTTGTATGAAAAGGAAGACAATGCATTGCTATTCCAATAAAAGAAGTGGCCTCAAGTGGTAATTTACATTGTTATGTTTACAGAGAACAGTTGCTTTTGGTTTATTGTTGAAGCAAATACTGATAATTATTAATACTGTCAATTGTAACTTTTGAGTACATTTCTGTCTTTTTGACAAACCACTTGAGGAATTGGGCAGCAAGTATAAGTCTAGCTATGAGGAAAAATGATGCTCGTGAATTTTTAAAATGAGAGAAAGACATAGAAATATTCCTTCATGATGGTGATAATACTAATAAGACTATTTTGAGTAACTTACTTGACTGACATGTCATAGTAGTATATGTGATATATTGAACTGTTTAAATCTTTACTTTAGGCTCAAATTATCCCATTTTTAAAATTTGCCGATGAGAGATTAGGATTTATTTTAAGAAAACTGAACTGTGGTATAAATGGTTTAAACTTCGATGCTTTCCATTACTTAACAATTTTTTCACTTTTGGAGAAAGAAATACATGTTTATTGTCACATATGTTTAAGAGTCACATTATTCCAAATGCAATATTGTATACATAATGCTTCATGAAAAAAGTGAAGAAATACTTTTTAGAACTAAATGCAACTAGAGTATGGATTAAGAATCTGTTAACTCTGCCTCCCAAGTTGAAACAAATTTTCTGCTTTCATTTGTGGTATGCTTATCAATTTAATGCCTGATGGAGTTCTCAAACTCATCATCAGTGAGAATCTTTATACTTTCTAGGTTCAAATAGACCAAATATCCAGAATTTTCTGACAAATCCACTAAATATTTGTTGTCATTTGGAAATCAGGACTTTCTAATTTTGGTAAAAGTAATAAGAATAGAAACTGATTGGCTGTGGAAATCAAGGTTTTCTGGCTTAAAGATTTTGTAATTCGGCCAGTCACTGACAGATTGGTAAGAGCACAAAAAATCCATTTTCTTTCATGGATAGGAAATATAATAATAATAATAATAATAAAAAATATATTGATACTTTATTCAAAACAAATTTTCCTTTGGCTATTGGGTCCCAAAGACAAATTAAGTGATTTGTAACCTATCACCTCTAATTCCCCAGATATTTAAAAATTGCATGCTCCTCTGAGAGTGTGATAGTGAATTAATAGCATTATCTTTCCCACTGAAAGATTTGCACAGACCATAAATACTTTCAAAAGTTTGAGTTCATAAACCAACTTTCCTAGAGGTATATTAAAAAGCTTTTTAAGCATAACAATTTAATGTATTTTAAATCATTAATTCCATACAGCTTTAATATGTCTTAACATTACTATTTGTTAAAAATACATGAAAATTCAAGTTATAGTATTGTTCTAAAACATTTAGAAATACGTCAGGTTTTAGAATGTAATATATTTTTAATTATTATTTTTATTGTGAAATACAAATTTTTTAGAATTAGTTTTAGCTGTACAACACAGTGCAATAGTTATACTTTTACCCCTCAGAGTGACAACCCCCCTCCCCCAATCTGCCACCACACTTCCTCCCCTAATATCATACATATCTATTACAATTCCCTTGACTCCACTTCCGCACTATACTCCATGTCCCATGACTAAATATATATATATATATATATATATATATATATATATATGTATATATATATATATATTCACTTATAGTTGACATACAATATTATACAACGTCAGCTTCAGGTGTATAGAATGTAATATTTTGGCTTTTTTAAATTATACCAAGCTTGCTGGCTATTGTGTAGAGGACGGAGAGCTATTTTTCTTTTAAATCTCGCAGCGCCCTCTAGAGTGAAAGGTTAATACAATTTGTTAAGGAAGGAGTGGTTTCACACATTGAAATATTCTTTTTTTTTTTTTAAAGATTTTATTGGGGAATTGGGGAAGGGGACCAGCCAGGTTGTTGTTCTTCAATCTTTGTTGTGGAGGGCGCCAGTCGCCATCTGGCTTCCCTATGGCAGTCCGTGGCCTCTAAGCTCAAGGCACTGTGTTCAATCTTAGTTGTGGGTGGGCTTAGCCACCATCCCATGCGGGAGGTGAACCAGCAGCCTTGTTGTTAAGAACACAAACTCTATCCACTGAGCCATCCGGGCGGCAGCTCAGCTCAAGGTGCTAAGTTCAGTCTTAGTTGTGGGTGGGCGTAGCCCACCATCTAACAGGCAATCTTGTTGTTACACCAGCTGAGCCATCCTGTCACCTGTTGGCAGCTCAGCAACAGCTCAGCTCGGGTGCAGTGTCACTGGCCCATGTGGGAATTGAACTGGTGGCCCTGTTGCTCAGAGCTCACGCTCTTAAGCCAACTCTTAACCAACTGAGCCGCTCAACTGGCCCCAAATATTCTTGATCCATTTCATTCTGAGGGACAGCTTGTTACTTAGACATAGCAAAGAGCTAAACCTAAATTTTTTTGGTCTGAGTGAATATTCTTTTCAAGAATGCCTTTTAGGTAACTGGAACAAAATAGAAATAAGCTCATTCACTGTGAAAATTTATTTTGTCTTGGTATTTGCACATCTTTTTCCTATCTCCTTGTCAAACTAATGGTACATAATTTTATTTTAAAACTGGTGTTTAATATTAATAGTATGAAAGGGTTGGCTGAGTGGCTCAGTTGGTTAAGAACTTGCTCAAGAGTGCGAGCTCTGAGCAACAGTGGTTCAATGCCCGGCCCGAGCTTAGCTGCCGCTCAGCTGAACTGCCAACAGGTGGCAGGATGGCTCAGCTAAAAAATAATAATAATAATAATAAATAATAGCACATGTCAAATTTTTTGTTGACTAATATGTCTAAATTTATTGAATGCCTGTTATATATGTGATACTACATTTGTATTGAGGAATACACAATTTATAGTGAACAAGTCACATCCCTGGCATTTACACATTTATTTCCAGTTGTATAATGTATCAGAGTGTGACTCATACTGGCTTTTGTATAAAAATTGTCTTCATTAAATTAATTAAGAATATTGCTATTAATATTGTTACTTTTTTATTACAGAAGAAAATACTCAGGAAACATCACAGGTGAAGAAAAGTTTGAATGAAAAAGTTTCTCTCTATAGAGGTGACATCACATTGCTAGAGGTAGATGCTATAGTCAATGCGGGTGAGTAGTTGATTTTTTTGTGATGTATTTGTTATATGAATATTTATTATTTAAAATATTTTTTCAAAAACAGGGATGTAAGTATTTTAGAAAAAGATATCTTTCCTGGTATAGAAATGTCTTATGCATTTCCTTTCTTGATTAAAAACGTTGAGGATTTATTTTGTGTATGTGTCGCAGTTAGTGTGCTGAATCTACATAATATCCACACTGACTTGAGACTAGGACACTCGCACTTAAACCACTAGAAAGTGACAGATTGTTGCAGAAAGTTGAGAAAGAAATTTAGCAGCTATATTATTGTTAGTTTTATGCTTGGGTTAACAGTTGGCCAACATAAAAACCAGTTCATCAAGCTTTTTTTTAGAATAGGTTGTAAAGAGATGATTGAACACCAGACAGAAGTAAAATATAAATAATTTTTTTCTGTGCTTTCCTAACCTCAGTTATTTGGTTTCAACTTTTCATGTTAGTTATGAAATGCTTTGTTTTAATTATTTTAATAATTATCTAAGTAATTTTCATATTTGAGCACTGGGAAAATAACAGTGTTATATATGGTAGTCTGTATCTCATATATTTTATTATGTGGCTGTGTATCAAAAAATACGTAATAGTTGTATTTCTATAAAAATAAATATTGACTTTATTAAAAAAGTTATTTCAATAAGGGGAAGAGGACTATTGAAATAAGATGAGGGAGAATACTGCAATGGGAAGAACCACTTCAACCATGAGATCTATAAGTATCTCAAAGGTCAAGCAGAATAGGGCTTTTCTTTTATAGAGGAGAGTAAACAGGCTAGAAAGAACTGGGTGTGGGGCAATGGGATGGTTATGTGGCATGATCAGACAGTTGATCAGGGAATGTTTTTCCCTGAGGTCCATGGACTCTTGAGAGGGGTTAGTAAGGAGGGGTTCTTCACCTTCCATTCTCAAGGATGGGCCAAAGCTAGGGGGCTTGGAGGAAGGAGAGAAGCTTGCCTAAAATTTGATCAAGTCCAGACATTGACCAACCAGAGTGGTCAATGGGGACAAATAGTTCAGTTAATCATTTATAAGTCAAAAAATGGGAATTTGGAGGGTCTGTGCCTTGGCCTTATCATAGGTTACAAGGAGTCAGTCATTTGTGAGTTTTATTTAAGTTGTATGTGGGAGAACGGTTCTTTGCAGTAAGCTGTTTCTTGAATACAAAAGGGTGGCGGTTAATTTCTTGAATGTCCCTGTTTTCCAGAGGTACAGGATTCAGGTAAAGTTCAACTTTGTCTTCAGGTTTCTCCTGATAATGACTAAATTCACACAGGATAGTAGGAACATGCCTTAGTAGGTAAACAGAAGGGTCTCATGGAGAACTGGAACATTGTTCATGATATAGCATAGTTGTGGTGACTTAACAGGAGCTGGAAGTCTAGTCAGCTTGTTCCTCCCTGAGCACTGGCTGTCAGTTGCTTTGTACTGTATATGCTTTGCCATAATCAGATCTCAGTTCTTCTCTTTCTCTTCTGATGCATCTCTACTTCCTTTATCCTCTGCTACCTCTCTAAAGTGTAAAACCATTTATGAGAGGGGATCTATTTGGGTCATCTAATGTCCACCCGATATGAATCACTCCTTCTGGATATAATTCCATCTTCAGATCACTTCATAGGTTACAGGTCTCCCTTATATCTAGTCTCTACAGACTGTTCATCTGTGGCCTGGGTATCAAGATGCTTTTCTCAGATCTGTGGGGCCTCTGGAGAAGATAGGCCCTTGAAAGAATCTCACGAACTTTTCTGCAGTACAGAGGTTTAATCAGACATGACTGTAATAATTACATCATCAATGATTTGTTATACCCCAAATTCTGTAAATATGTGAGCTTTAATTAAAAAAACGAAAAGCTCATATATATGTACATATATATCTATATCTATCTCCATATAGCTATATCAATCATCTATCTATCTATCTATTTATATTATATACCACGAACCTTTCTATATACTCTTGTAATTTTTAGCCATTGATCCAAGTTTCTAAGTTTTGCTCTGTGGAGCATAACTGATACTTGTATTTTCATCTTAAATACCTGAAGGTGACTTTCCTGAGTTGTCTCTTTCTTGTTATTAACATAATATTAAATTTGCCACGTTAGCACATTTATTAATAATAGCAGTAATTATGGTTTTTCTTGGGTTTTATTAAATGTATACATGTTTATCTCCCTCTTGAGGCTATGGACTGGTGTCTTTCATTTTTTACGTCATCTCCCAAAGCAATGACTTACCCTCATGTTCTTAGTAAATTCTTGATACTGTTTATTTGTTAAATTGAACTATACTCGTATACAATTGAATTTTTAACAAAAGCACCTTTGACCAAAAGCACTTTCAGCATTGGGGACTTGACACAGTAAACCATTTTGGCTCTGATTTTAAGAATGATTTATTTGATCTATAAATAAAAATAAAAAAATAATTTTTACTGGTCTTTTTTATTGAAATAAAATAAAATGGTGTGAAACAGGAAATCATTACTAACATGAAAACATTTGATCACTATTTTGATTCTTTGTACTTGCCTGTATGCATAATTTTTTTCATAGCTGCCACATGATGTACAAGGGTTTGATGAATTAGTATGAAGGCAGGTAGCAATTTTCACACTCTCAAAAACCATTTGGCACCTTTAGCTCGCCTCTCTGGCTGAGATGATTACAATTTGGCCATGTTCTGTGTCTCACAAGGACAGCCTCATCAGGAAGTACCTAGGTAGATGGAAAAGAAATGCCAAATGTAGAGTGTAATGACTCTCTTTACAGCTATCTGCTGTGCAGCTTGTTTGCCTGGTGTGTAAGGAGGGGAACAGCTGTTAACCTTTCAGGTGAACAAGGCAAAATGGCAGGAAAATCCAGAGCTGCCTCTAGTGAGAAGGGAATGCGAGGCAATGCCTCCACCCAAGGTGTCAAAGCAACCCAGCAATCACTTTCTATCAAATTTCTAAAGTTCTCGTTCCATGTCCATATTAGTACATTGGAATGCCTGGTCTTAGTTGCTATGAATGAAATTAGTTAATATTTTAATTTTTTCCTAATAAAATGCTGTTTGAATTTTCTTAGATTTCTATCAATACCCAGGATGAGCCTCCTATATATTATATTCTTCTCTGTAGGGATAAATGCATATTTGGTATATTTTAATAAAACAGATTTTGAAGACAGCAGGATACATGCGGGCAATAGCACAAGTTTGAGTCAGGCAGACTCAGGTTCAAATTCAGGTCTCATACCTAGGGCCATTTTTTGTTTAAAATTTTTATGTAAAAATTATTATAGAGTATTACAAAAATAATACAGAATCCTTTCTACCCTTCACCTTCACCTGTTTAAGCCTCCCCCAAAGGTGACATTGTATAGCTATAATACAATATCAAAACCAGGAAATTGACAATGGTACATTACTATTAACTAGACCATAGACCTTATTGAGTTTTAACCATTTTTCAACCTGCATTTGTGTGTGTGTAGTTTTGTGCAGTTTTGTCTCATGTATAGATTCATGTAACTACCACCACAGTAAAGATGCAGAACTGTTCCATTATCATGAAAGAACTTTCTCATGTTACCTCTTTGTAGTGTCACCTACCTCTCTGCCCTCCACCCCGTTCTCCATCTTTGGTTTTGTCATTTTAAGAATGTTATATAAATGGAATCATACAGCACGTAAACTTCTGAGATTGATTTTTTTCAGTAAACATAAAGCCCTTGAGGTCCACTCAGATTGTTTGTTATATGTATCAGTACATTATTCCTTTTTATTTCTGAGTAGTAGTCCATTGCATGGCTATACCAAAGTTTATTCAACCATTCACCCATTGAAGGACAATTGGGTTCTCTTCAGTATTTTGCTATGAAGATCGAGTTGCTATGTAGATTCATGTACAGGTTTTTATATGTAGCAGCATATAGATCTGTTTACTGTGACTAGGTCCTTGTATTATTTTGTACTAATTGTCAAAGAGTTTTGGTCTTTGCAAGAGTTTGGGATAGAATACACTGATCTAATTAGTTTAGTATTATATTATTAGAGATAATTTCACCTGTATCACAATCACAAAAATATTTTGTAGGAGATATTTTTATTCACTTGTGAATTATAGGTTGTGTAATGAAAAAGTGGTTAACTTTCCAACTCTAATGGGTTGGCTTTGGCTAAAGATTAATTCAATTTGACATAAAAAGGATTTTTTAAAGTGGAAAGTGAGGAAGGTTGATCTGTTTATTTTAGTTATTGCTGTACCTCCCCCAATATGCCAAGGACAGGTACATTTACATTGTGGTTGTTGATAGAGGGCTTGGAGTCAGATCAACCATTATTTAAATATGCTTCTTTAATTTCCTGGCCATATGACCTTTGGAAAATTATTTAATCTTTCTGAGCCTTAGTTTGTTCATTGGTAAAATGGAAATAATACAGGCCTGCTTCACAGGGCTGTTGTGAAAATCAAGAGATAATGTATACAAAGCACTTCATACAGTGCCTAGTATATAGACACACTAATAAATGGGACCAGAATTGTGCTGTTTAGTTCTAATATCAGAAAAAGTTATTTTTTCATATGAATGTGACAAGGTAATTACATGTTTTCAAATTTTAAGCATAGATAGACATATGACCAACTAAAAGAGTTTATCCTATGTCCTTCAACCTTAGCTATTATAATGTTTACTTGAATTCTGTTCAGGAAAAGTTGTCCAATTTTGAGGCTTTATAGTAAAAGTTTCTACAACATTGTTGTTAATTTATATGGACTAATGGCCAAGGGAAAAGAATTGTTTTAGTTTACTTTAGTGATTAAGTGTTTTTACTGCATTAATTAAATGTCATAATTGTGTCAAAAATTGAAATAGTGACATATGATTGGATAATCATTTAATAGCTGGGTATAATTTAATTAAAATAAAAGTTGATGCAGAATATCTGAATATTTACATAAGTAAATCAGGTAGTATGATAGAAGAAATTTTAATTTCTAGAAGTTTCTTTAATCACCTTCATTTGCTTACAATAAATGTTAATTTTATGAATTTGTTCAGTAAAACCAAAATAAAGCATAAGTAAAATTAGAATTTAAATCATTGGGAAAATAGGTTCATTTATTTTCAGAAGTATTTTAGGACAGAGTTGATAGTGACTGCTTGATTTAGTATGAAATTTTATCTCTACTAGCAAAGCACTAAAGTTTTATTCTTCATTGAATTTTGGTAATATGTATTTTTTCTTTTAATATTTTGTTCAGCATTAATAGACACAAAGCACACACATATTTTCACAAATTGTCACACCTGTGTAAGTATCCAGATCAAAAAGCGAACTTTACCAGTACCCTGGAAGAGCCTTTGGCATCCCCTAACATCCTGTAGTGAATACAGGATAGTGTATTCACTGTCCTGACTTCTAGGAGCATAGATTTGTTTTGCCTGTTCATGTATTTTATGTAGATGGAATCATTTAGTGTATACTCTTCAATGTTTACCCCTTTTAGTTAACCATTATGCTTGTAACATTGATCTATATTGTTGTGTATAGATGATCATTCATTATCAAATAATAATATTTCATTTTGTGCATATACCACAATTTATATATCCAATCTACTGTTGATAGGCATTTCAATAATTTCCAGTTTGGGTCTGTTAGTACTGCAATGAATTTCTAACACATTTGTGTGTGTGTGTGTGTGTGTAGATATCTATTTTTGTTGGTTCAATAGCAGAGTGGATTGGCTATACCATAGGATGGATATAGATAGATAGATAGATAGATAGATAGATAGATATAGATATAGATATAGATAAAATCTCCACTTTTTCATATATATATATATATGTATATGGCTTCAGTCATATGTGGTGTATATACAAAATGGAATACTACTCTACCATAAGAAAAGATGAAAAACTGCCATTTGTGACAACATGGATGTTTTATATCTTAGTCTTTAAAAATGTATGTGTAGAGCTATAGGTTATATACTTTGCAACAATACTACATCTGCTATATTTATACTGTAACCTGCTTTCCCCCCACTTGTATACATCTCATTTTCCATATCCTTAAATGTTAAGAACATGATTTTAAATAATTATTCCAATTTTTTATTTTTATAAATAAAGCTATAATGAAAGTCCTCATGCTGAAATGTTTTTAAGCATCTCTGATTATTTCCTCAAAATATATTAGAAGGAATTACTAGGTAAAAGGCTATACACTATTTTAAAAAAATGATTTTGATATCCATTGTTTCTTACAATGTTATACTTTCTCAGGGGTGATATATTGGTACAAATTCTTGTAAATACTGGGTTACATTATTATAAAATCAAACCTACCAATTTAATAGTGATTAACGTTATCTAATTTCTTTTATTACTAGTGATATTGAATGCTTTTTCTTATATTTGTTGGCAATTTATGTGTTCTTTTTTAATTTCAAGTTCATATTCCCAGTAAGGTTCTTTCTAGGACATTTGTCTTTTTTAACTGGGGAAAGCTTATTATATATTAGTAACAGCAACCTCTGCCACTTACATTACTAACATTCCTTTCCAATTTGCCATTTATTTTTCAAATATGTTTCTGGTATAGGTTTCTTTTCAAGCACTTAAGAACATTTATGTCATCAAATTCTCATTTTTTTCTTATTGGTTTTTTTTCTTTGGTATTGAGTTTAGAATGGCCTTTCCCACTCAAAGTTTAAATAGTCCCTGTGTTTTCCTCTACTTTTTAAATGGTTTCTTTAATTTGTATTAA